TTAAAAATATCAATCCAAATACTTATATTCAAATCAATTGAATACTTATTAAAGAGAACCAAGAGTAAAAGGGCCAACGAAAAAAAATAATGGATCTATAATTTTCTTCCTTACTAACTGTATTTTACTAATTAGTACTCTCCGTCCCCCAATTAAGTTCTAGATTTGACTTCACACATATTAAGAAAATAAATTTGACTTTATCGTAGAGTGCACTGTTTTGCACTGTTTGACACTATTTAACACTGTTTGACACTGTTTTGATGTAGATAATTTGCCAAATGAGGAAAGTATTGAAGTGTGAACTTAATTTAGGGACTGCCCAGAAAGGAAAGTGAGAACTTAATTGGGGGACGGAGGGAGCATTAGTATATAATATTACTCCTTACCATACAATAATAAAGGAAAATTAAAAATTTGGGGCTCCATAAATTCGGGAGCCCTGTTCTGGATAACCTATTGACCCCCCTAAAAAACGGCCCTGATCATACGGAATATTTGGGAAAATTGTAGGATAGAGAGTGGCAGAGCGAGTAGATGTTGGGATACATGTGGTGTTATGTATTAGGGAGAAATGGCTCAGACCTGCCCAAATATTTTCCAAATTTTCTCCACATTGGTGCTGGCTAGCTCGGCCGAACCCGCAAGAAACAGGCCAAATCACGTGACCATCCCCGTCCGCAAGAGCGGGCAGGGTAGTCCACCGGCCTGTCTGGCTTGGGAAAACTTTAATTTTATAAAAATTACTCCGGTATTTAAACAATTCTACACACTTAAAATAACATTACAACATTTTAAAAATTGTTAATATACTTATAATGTTTATAGGCTTCTCACTGGATACACAAAAAACACTTACACAATAATAATTATGAAAACTATAACTAAAACTTAAGATTCAAACACAAAGTGTTATCTTTAAGTATAAAAATAGATATTATATTAAATGAGATACTTTTTTGTTAATTATGTTTAAATTTAAATTTAAACATAATTACTATAAGTATATATCAAGATAAATTTGTAAATAAATATATACATACATGTATATAAGTATATTATACATATGTATACTAAATGCAGCGGACCGGACATATCGGCAAGAACGGACCTACTCTCTAAGCCAAGCACATCCACATGCTATTGCGGGCCGAGCCCAACCCGACTACTTATGTATGCCCAAGCCCGACTACTTATGTCTGCGGGTTGGGCAGGCCCGGGGGGCGGACCAATCCGTGTTTGTTTAGTTCAAAATGTTAAAATCCCTACTTATGTAGTATTACTAATTTTTAATAATGTGATCATGGTTAGTAAGGTTGTGTGCCCAACCTTGTGCTACTCCATACCAAACGAATCTAGGAAACACAAAGAGGAGACGCAGGTATGAAGTTCCAACAGGGTCATTCAAAGGGTGGTTCAAACAGTGGTTCAAACAGGACGATGGAGGCTATTCATGAGCAGCGCGAGATCGAGCAATTGGCTAACGAGTATGGCCGAATGGAGATGGAGAAAGAGGATGAGTTCCTACTGGTGGAGGCTATGGGTCCAAATTCTGTAGATGTGGGTTTTTCTCTAGTAGGACAATCACATCCGAATTAAAGTCGGTACGATGGTGAATGTTTGAAAACCTGTACGAGGTGTCACTTTTATAGAATTAGGGTCAGAACATATATGTTTCAATTTTACAATGAAATGCCTAGGGTGTTGGAGGAAGGACTATGGACTTTCGACAAAAATCCGATTGTCTTGAGCAAACTAGGGAAAGGGGACCTACCTATAGTGGTGCCCTTAAATAGGTCTGATTTCTGGATACATGTTCATGATGTACTGGTAGTATATTTTTCTATGAAGAATGCGGTAAAGATTAATAATTTCGCAAGTAAGTTCATTAAAGTAGATGAGTACAACTTTTCTGCTAAATGGAACCCGTTTATGTGAATAAGAGTAAGTATTGATTTGAGCAGACCTTTGAAAAGAAAATTATTTTTGCAAATGGATGAAGGGGTTAATTTATGTGTCAATTTCCGCTATGAAAAAACTGCTTTATTTTTGTTTTGCTGTGTGATTATTGGACATCCCAAAAGGTGTTGCCCTCGCTATCCTGAGGGTGGTGGGAAGAATGGGTGACTTCCTTTTGGGTCAGGGCTTAGGACTTCATAAGAAAGACCACATGTAGGAAGAAATAAATGGCTAGTTCAAGTTGGAAAAGGGAGAGCCATAGATGTTGAAGGAAGAGTCATTATGTCATATGGAGGACCACAATGATGGGATGAGGGGACATGATCACATTCCAGGAGATAAGACCGAGCATAAATGAAGGAGGATTGATCAAGGGGAGGAAGAACAAGCACACTATGATATGGAGGTGGAGCTGAGGGCGCCAAAAATGGGAAGGAGGCGATGGAAACGACAGAGCTCCATCAGGTGAAATTTATTTACTCGTGTTATTTTCAATTTCGACTAGCTTCTAGTTTCTATTTTGTCTTTATTTTGTCAAACAATAAGGGTGATGACTCGTAATTTGTTTGTTTTAGAAACACTCAAAACTTGTTTCTAGGAGTACTTTTGAGTACCGAGAAGTACTTTTACATGATTTTTTTTTGTTTTTTTTTTTACTCCAAGGGAGTCTGGGGGAGGGGGGCTGGGGATGAAGTAATCAGGGCTGAAACTCACTCTATTGAGTTTCAAACCCTTTTTTGTGCCTAGCGGATTTCGAACTCGAGACCTCTCACTATACACGGTAACCTCACAACCAGCTGGGCTGGAATGCTTGGTTAGAACTTAGAAGTACTTTTACATGTTCACATAAACACTCTAATATATATTTTTGCTCTCTAAAGGAGTAGAAGCCATTTTAAGAAGCAGATGTAAACACCCCATATATGTCTACTGGTGTACTCTATACGTGATAGCTCATAGGCTTTCAGCAGTATCAGCTGTTGGGCCCAAATAATATTCGTCCAAATGGGCTAACAAGCTGGAATAATTGGTTCATTAATAAGAAGCCCACCATGCCAAAGGGAGTCCAATTACTAGCTCTTGATAATTCAAAATAGAAGATAAGAATGAGGAAGAAGTCCAAGGCTAAAGGGAGGCAGTTGCACGTGGAGAAGAAATAGGGAATAGTTGATAATCTTGGGGAATAAGCTCCTAGTAGTTAGGGCCAATACGGATAGCTTGGTAGATTATATATACATATATATACATCATCCTCAAGGAGACACACCAACGATTACTCATACGCAAACACTGGATATATTACTCTATATTCGAAGAAGCTCATTGCTCAGTTTATTCTATATAAATTCCATTAATTACTTTATTTCCTGTGGCCATTGTTGATTCTCAATAGCTTGATTCCCAACACATTTTCATTTTAGATTAGTCTAATTTCTGGTTAAAACATCAGCCACCCATTCAAAAATAAATAACACAGATGATTGTTAATATCCGTGTTGCCCAAAGCCTTAGAGGACATTCTTGAAATAAATAAGGGCTCATAGTCCTGAGCAGTATTAAAATTAGCCCAACATTCAAGAATAGGATTATAATTTTTTTTTAATATCACAAGTTTAGGAGTAATATATGTCCATTCTTCCCATTATTCTACTCACTTTCCATAATTTCTAATAGGTTGATTTTATTAATAAAAAATCATAGTTTTATTTGCAATAAAAAGTAAAAATAATAATAATAATAAAAGTAATAATAATAATAATAATAATAATAATAATAATAATAATAATAATAATAATAATAATAATAATAATAATAATAATAATAATAATAATAATAATAATAATAATAATAATAATAATAATAATAATAATAATAATAATAATAATAATAATAATAATAATAATAATAATAATAATAATAATAATAATAATAAATTAATAATAAAAACGGGGAAAAATAAATAAAAAATGAAAAATAAGAATAAATAAAAATAAAAATTTTAAAATCTTTAAAAAGTCTAAAAAACAAATGAAAATATCTGAAAACATACTAAACAATGTGTAGGCCCTCTGCCACCGCGTTGTCCACTTCCCAGCACCACCAGCTCCGATCGCCGGAAAAAAATGTCACACTCCTTTGAAAATGCCATGAAGATGACCTTTTTACTCTTTGAAATATACATCTTTCTTTTCAAAATTGCCACATGATGACATATTTTGCAACTTGGCATTCTTTTTCCGGCGAATGGAGGTGGCAGTGCTGGAAGGTGGTTGAGGTGGTGGTTGGTGTCTGTATATTTTTTTATTTATTTTTTACATTTTTATTTTTTTTATTATAATTATTAAGTTGTTTTTTTTTAAAGAAATCCTATTAAGGATAACAAGGGATATTAATTAAGCTCCTAATGTTTCAAGTGGGATAATTTGGATATTTTGGACTTCGTCAAAATTGATGGGCCATTTCAATTCTCAACAATATTATTTAGGGAAAATTTCACAAATAAGCAAAATAAGGAAAATAATATCATTTTTGTCTAGGCAAGATTCGGTTTTCACAAATAAGCTACCTAAGCTTTTTATTTCAAAAATATCACCTATATAAACTACCAAAATTAGAAACTCAGAGCTCGACCACCAAAATTAGAAACCCAGAGCTCAATATCGTTCGAAGAGGGACCTTCTTCTGCGCGCGGAAATCCTCTGCGAAGTAGTTTCCGATTAGTAATGTTCAATCGAAGCTATCTACCACATCAAAACATCGATCTCAATCTTCCAAACGAAGATTGAATCGATCAGCTGTGAAGACTCTACAGCAAATCAAGTCTCGTTTTCATAAAATTTGATCAATCATCGAGGTCAGATAATTACAATTCCATATTTCGTTCAGTGTTGAATGTAATTTTGTTGCGTTTGTTGATAAAGTGATGATGTTAAAAAAGTATGTTTCTGCGTATCGCACTACTATGTTGATCATGATTCTCGTTGATCGCTAATATTAAATAAGTCTGTGTTTCTGGATATCAACATACTTTGTAGATGTATTGATTATTAAATATAGAATGATATTTGTTGTGAATAACAGGAAACATGGAAACAATACCTGTTTTTGTTCATCACGGTGGTTTTTGGAATGAAGTCATGGAATATGTAAACTTCTGTGTTTTTGGAATTACTTTGGCTACAAACAACTCTTTTGCTGATTTGATTGAAAAGGTAGCAGATAGGATTGGAATACAAACAACATCAACCTCATTAATAGTTCAATACAAAGTGAGAGACAACTATCCACCACTAATGATACAAGATAACTCATCTCTGGTGTTTTATTTGCATCTGAAGAAACAAGATACAGATGTGACGAAGTTCCCTCTATGCATCACCACTGCTGATGTACAAGAAGAAACAAATTGCAACATGTTTCTTGTTGGAAATAAACAAGTGGAAACAACATCTGGGATACAAGAAGGAACACTGTCTGAAGAAAGCTCAACGATTAGTGAAGAGATAGACATTAATGCTTTTATATTAGCATGGGCAAATAAAACAACTGATGAACTGCTACAAGATAAATTTGTGGAGTCAGAAGCAACAAAGTGCAACAACAGTGATGTATCCCCTGAAGTAGGACTGATATACAAGAACCGTGCTGAGTTCAAGAAAGCACTGAAGTTGAATGCTATAAAAAATCACTTCCAGTACATGACTGAAAAGTCAAATAAGATTTGTTTTGTGGCTAAGTGTTTGGATGAAAATTGCAGTTGGGAGATAAAAGCAAGACAAATTGGAACAATGGGAAGGTTTAAAGTTGTGAAGCTTGTAAATACACATTCCTGCAGATTAGAAGTAAGATTAGCAGATCAAAGGCATGCAACATCAAGTTTGGTAGCAGAATGCATTCAATCTAAGCTATTGGATCCAAAGGCGCAATATAATGCAACCGATGTAAAGAGGGACATGCTACAGGAATATGGTGTTGAAATCAGTTACCTAAAAGCATGGAGAGCAAAAGAAAAGGCACTAAATAAACTCAGAGGAAAACCAGAAGAATCATATGGCTTTCTGCCACGGTTCTTGAATATTGTGAAACAAACAAATCCTGGATCATTTGTGCAACTTAAAATTAATGAAGACAACACATTCTTGTATGTCTTCATGGCTATTGAAGCATCAATTAAGGGCTGGGAATTTTGCAGACCAGTTATTGTAGTTGACGGGACATTTTTGACTGGGAGGTATGGCAGAACACTGTTAACCGCATCAACACAAGATGCTTGTGGAAAAATATTCCCTATTGCATTTTCTGTAGTTGACTCTGAGAATGATGAATCTTGGAAATGGTTTTTCAGAAATATTAAAGAAGCTTTGGTTTATAGAAGTGAAATGGTGATTGTTTCTGATAGACATGAGAGTATTGCAAAAGCTGTTTTAGAAGTGTATCCAGAATCTGGGCATGGGGTATGCATATACCATCTATTCAACAACCTCAAGACAAAGTTCAAAAGAAAAACAAAGAAAATGAAAGATAGTTTTTTTGAAGCTGCACAAGCATATACCAAAGATGACTTTGATTGGCACATTGAGGAACTGAAGAAACTGGATGAGGGGATAGTACCATATTTATACTCAGTTAGGTATGAAAAATGGACTAGATTTTTCTCAACATCAAAAAGATACTCAACAATGACTTCAAATATAGCCGAATCCTTGAATGCCGCATTGAAAAAGATAAAAAATCTGCCAATAACTGCGTTGCTACAGTTCTTGCATGCATTGGTACAAATATGGACACATATGAACAGAAATATTGCAAGAAACACATTTACCAAACTTGCAAAAGTTCCACATGAAACACTAGAGCTGAACTACCTCAAATGCATGAAGCTAAAGGTATATAGTGCTTAAATTATATGAAGTTAAATTTTATTAAAAAGTGTGAATATAACAGTTTGAATTGCAGGTGATTCCTTCTAGTGAAGCAATATTTACTGTTTCTGAAATGAACACAAGCTTCATTGTTAACTTAGAGGAGAAGAATTGCACTTGTAGAAGATTCCAAATTGATGAATTGCCATGTATTCATGCACTGGCAGTACTCAAAAAGATGAATCAAGAGCCATACAAATTTTGCTCATCTTACTACTTAAAGGACACGATGCAACAAACATATCAACGGACTGTGCATCCAATTCCAGATCAGGGGACATGGCCAATGAATACTTGCGATCAACTGAAAATCTATCCCCCACATGGAAGGAAAAAGTCTGGAAGGCCAAAGAAGCAGAGGTACAAGGCACACTGGGAGAGTACAAGTACACACAAATGTGGGAAGTGTGGAAACCAAGGGCACAACAGAAAGACATGTAGGAATGCACCACAACAGTAGAAAGTTTCTATAATGTAGTTTCTATAATATAATTGTTTTACAAAATCTCTCAATTGCTACTGTTCAAACTCAATTTAATATAAATATGCATTCATATTGTTAGTGTCCATTCTGTATAAGTTTTATTTATATTTTGTGACGAAAAGTTCTATTATGGGATTAAATACGAAAGCAGAAACAATAAACAACAAGAATAAACAAGTAAAAAACAACTGCTATTTTTGATAAACAAAAAGAAATGAAAAGAAACATTAGAAGAAACAATTTTTTCTAAAGAATAAACAAGCACAAACACAGTAAGGAAACAAAGTGTAGAAACATGGAGGTAGTAATGTAATTACTTAAGGAAGTCATTCAGAAAACAATGACATAAACATAAGATATAAAATAAGAAATAGAAACAAACAAAAACAAACAGAAACAAATATAAACAATACAAATAGAAACAAATATAAACAATGAAAACCACTAACAGAAACAAACAGAAACAACACAAAAACATATGACACAGAACAATAATATCTTTTCAAAACAACTGTATAACAACAGTAAACAGTACAACCGTATCACAAAAGTAAAACAGTATGTTTCCAAAAGAACAAGTTCATATTTGGTTTTTACATTACAAGTTCACAAGACAAAAGTACATTAATTCTTGCTACATCTATTTAATTAACTTCTTCAGCTTCTTCCTCTTGGGTTTGATTTCTTCAGCATCACTCTGGACTTCACCATTTATTTTGGACAATCCATATTGGTAGAGAAAGTAGGAAAGTCTGGTCCTGTAAAGCTCAATATCCAAAAATTCAAGAACCGCTATGCCATCGATGAAATACTCAGCAAAAGCAGCAACAAAAGCACCACAGTCACTATAAAAAGTACAATAAAAAACAATATTGTCAATGCTAGAAACATAAACAAAATATAAAAAAATAATATAATTAAATAAATGAAGTTACCATGATTCTTGAACAGGCAAGTCAAGCACAAATTTCATCTCTATATCCCTGTGAATATCCAATCCATACCTAGAGAAGTGATCCATATGTCGAAAAAACAATGGGAGCATCACAAGTAGTGGCTGCACAACTTCTTTAGCAAGAGATGCATCCCTTGGACTGTTCATTGAATTATAAACATAAATGCACCAATCTTTGATGCAAAACCTAGCAAGAATCCAATGCATCTGTTTCTTAATATACAATGGCATGAGAACATGTTCAACTTCATCCCAAGGCTTAGAATAGGGCAACTGCAAACCTACAATACAATCACATATACTTGCAAATTTTGACCAAGAAAAGGATTTCTCCAAGGTTGCAGCATATGCTTTTTGTATATTGACTTGAAAAAGAACATCAGTTGTTGTGAAACTGCATTTGCATATCTTAGTAACTTCGGCTTTTTTCCTAAAATAATGAAAGATCACATCGATATGCTGCAAGAAAAGGGAAAAAATAGAAAAAAATAATAATAAATAAACAAATATAAACAAATATCAACAAATATAAACAATATATTAAAAAAGTAAATAAGCATACAGAATCTGATATCATTTGACCAATGTAGTGAAGACTATGGAACCATGTCTTAGATTCCACAAAAGCAACAGTAAAGTCAAATCCAGGACTGAGATGATCAATTTTCTCAGGATACATTAACTTTGATCTACAAAATAATAAAAACTTAAGTTAATAACAAAGATATAAGAAAATCTATAATATATAATGATAATTTTAAACAGACCTCTTCCGCTTATACGCTTTTTCATCGATCCAAATATTAAAAGCCGAAAGAACATCATATGCTGGGACACAGACTGCTTCATCGACAAAAGGACATGGAACCAGGGCAACAGAAGACTGTGGAGACTCACATCCTGAAGTAAACTCACCAACAAAAGGAGATTTGACGAAAACACTAGGCTTAACACTCCTTTTATGCTTAACATTGGATTCATCGGTATGAACAACTGATATAGGGGTAATAAAAGGAACTAAAGCCATCGTAGGATTTGTAGAACACGAAGCAGGATCTGTGCTAGACAACTACAAAAATAAAAGTGAATATTAAAACAAAAATAAAATGAGAAAAAAAGCTAAAGAAAAATGAAAATAAATTCAATACCTTGGCACTCTTAAAATGTGAAACAAGGGAATCCAGTTCAGCATAAAAAGATTCATCATTAACACAATCATCACAGGGAGAAACTGGTTGTTGATCAATTGGTTGATTCTCAACAGTCATCATATCAATTACAGTAGAAAAAACCATTTTTTGGCAATGCTCCAAGAACATAGAATCAAGTTCACAATACTGCATATCAGTAACACTAGATAAAACAAGATTATGAACGTAGTCCATCAGCACAAAATCATGCTCATTTGACATGGAAGTAGTAACAGTTGAAAAAACAAGAGTGTTGATGAAATTGAATAAGACATCAGAATCTTCAGGTAAAACAACAGCTGCAACACTATCAGACACCAACTCCTGTAAAAAAAAAATACTTCATAAACTAGTAATGAAAAAAACTTAAACCAAAGAAGGAAACAAAATAAAACAATGTAAAACATAATGCAACATATGAAAACCAAACCTGTTGATTATCTATGGCATTCACACAAGGATCAGTAGAAAATATTGGATCATGTAAGAGACCACTCTCAAGACCAACATGAACAAAGTCATCAGTAGCAACAAAGCGAGACTCAATCTCATTAAGAGAAAGAACAATTGTAGCATCATCTTCAGAAACATTGTTTTCAGAAACTGGAGTTTGTTTACAAGGAGTTTGGTGTGAGGATACAAAACCTGAAACTGGCTGCTTGGAAGATTGAAATTGATTAAGTGTTATAACACGATCAAGCTTCTGTTCTAAAACAGTAAACTTTCCCTGAACAAATTCCTTGAAATCTGCAAGTTTACTATCTAGACGTTTTTCAAAGTCAAATAAAGCAGAGCTTGATACAGCATTGCCAGAAAAAACATGAGGCAACTCCTCAGCATTTGAAGTAGAAGGAACACTTTGGGGCCTTAAGATATTAGCAGCAAACAAAGCATCCAATTCAGGGGATTTTTTTTCAACATCAGAAAGAACAAGATTGTGTAACTTCAACTGCATAATAGAAAAACAAAAGACAAAATGTTGAAAATCAAATAAAAGATTAATAAAAAAACATAACACAAGGAAAACTAGTTTTTAAAAAATACCTGAGAAGCAGATAAACAAAGAAGTTCCATATTCAATTTCTTGAATGTGAGAGGAACAGATGAGTGCCAAGACAGTATACGGGGAAGTAGAGAACCCGATCTTGAAGCAAAAACGCCATCACAGTAATCACAGCATTCATAAAACCACACCTGAAGTGCTAAAGGAAATCCCAGAATACGGTAAAAGAAATAATCACTTTTTATCGTATCCGCTCTCACAAGTCTGCCCTTCAAATTTTGTAAAGTTATATCAAAAAGGTCCTTCCCCCAAGGGTACAAATCCCACAAACCAGCATTCACAACAGCAACATAAGTTTCACTAATAAACTTTTCCTTAGGCGAAGTAAACAAGAACAAACCAATAACATATAGAATGGCAATTTTCACAGCATCTTCATCACAATCCGCATGTTGACCAAGAAAACAAGTTGCAATTGCTTCACGACTAACTTTAGAACAGTTGTTGAAATATTTTTTGGTGAGGTCATTGGTGTCTAATGAAGTAAGAGTAGACTCATCAAATTGACCAGAACACTTTAAACCAGTAACAACAGCAAATTCAGCAATGGAGAACCGCAAACGAAAACCAGAAACTTCAAACCACATCTCATTTGGAAGACTGTGACTAAGTTCTCTTAAAAGCAAACAATGAACAACTTGAGGCTGAAATTTAAGGTCTTGAAAATCTAGGAATTTGCCAAAGCAGGTTTCCCTAAATAAACTCAATTGAACGTCAGTCAATTTCGCCTTCAAATTAGATGCAATGCAATCTTTGTTATAGCTAGAAACCCTACTCTTAAACCAGGATTCACATGGAACAAAATACTCCCATTCCTGAATTAAAAAACACAACAAAAACAAAATGAAATTAACAAATTGAAATAAAAACAAAGTGAAACAAATGAAACAACAAATTACATACACAAATGCAAACAATAATGTAAATATACCAAGACGGTAAGTAATTACCTTAAATCCGCCAGGTTTGATTTTAATTTTTCTCTTATTGACGGAGATCTTAGACTTCTTCCCTTTTGCATTAGCAGAAACTTTAGCCCTCTTCTTCACAGGCTTAGAAGCATTTTCGTTTTTTCTCTTCTTCCCAGCGTGATTCGAACTTCTGCTTCCAGAAGCGGAATAGGAAGAACTGTGAGCCTCAGAATCACTTTCCTTATTACGACATGCAACAGACGCCCTGGTAGTACGACGAGGAGTATTGTCGTTTTTCCTCTTCTTCACAACGACATCAGAACCTGTACCAGAAGGGGAGTGCGAAGAACTGTTAGCCTCAGATTCACTTCCATTAGCATTAGAATCACTTCCTTTAGCATCAGAATCACTTCCTTTATTCAATGCTACAGACGCTCTGGTAGTACGACGAGGATTTAAGCTTGACATAGTTCTGAAAAACGTTAAACACTGATAATGCAGAGGATGAAGAAAAGAGAAGAAGAAATTCAAGGAGATGATCGAAGAAGAAGTCGAAGCAAAGAAGGAAACCGCGAAAGAGAAAAATGAAGTGCGACGGAAGGGAACGTTGTAGAACGTGCAAAAGGTTGGATCGAGATTGGCGGAAACCGTCTATAACTGAAATAAAAAAACAAAACTGAAAAGATAAAAGTTTAAATCTGAAAAAAAAAAGTGGTTGAGACATTAATGATATACGGGCTACTAAAATAGCCCAAAGGGGTAATTTCCACTATTATTTATGGTCAACTGGGTATACAACACGTCAATACTATCCTTTTCTTAGGGAAATTGTACCAGTCTATAAACGTTTGTATATTTTAAAATATGACTATCATGTTTTAATTTCAAAATAAGAGTAATTATTTCCATATTTTGACAGTACAGAATAAAACATGACAGTATTTTTCAAAGTCTCAATCATTTTT